ATCCAGTAGGAAAGGAGTTACGGCTGAAAAGTACGGCTGAAGAACCATCTCACCGAAGACTATTGAGCGCTACTGTATATTAGGGGAGTTCAAGTCGATCTGGTGAGTTTCATTATATTTCCACGCTTCACTGTTCTTCCATTTTTCGCATAATCTACTAAGGGTGAAATAAATTGACTGGTCCCCTACCACCGTGGTTCCCCCCGTTTCATCTGCCTTCCAGCAAAGTTTTGTTCTTGCAAGATATAAATTAAAACCCTCGGCTCTCCAATAATGAACGCCTCGGCGCCACAGCCTATACCATTGTTTGGAAACACGCCAGTGGATCCATTATTCATGGTACTGGATAATGGCGACTTTTCGGCCGGCAATTTGCCGAGCAGATGTTTCGGATTTCAGCGATGGCACAAACATCTGCCGATGCCGATGTTGCGTTTGACAGTCGCCCTTGAATATTTAGTTGACGGCTGTGTTCCCACTATTACTGGTAATAGTCTTCTCGATTATCCGACTGAATCTTTGATATGCGAGGTTTAAAGCCTAGAGAGGGAACAAATGGGTTCGGCGACTTTCTCAATGGAAGGTGTTACTGACTGGCGCCATAGCGAAGATATGAGTCAGTGATTGGAAGGGGCAGCCTAATGATCTGCCAGGGCACTAGTCTTTTGCAGAGCGATAATCTTTTTTAAGTTGTCGTTAGAAGATGCTGAATTTTTGCTGAACGGTTTCTTAAGCTGAAAAGCTAGCGAGATTTGTTTATTTTATTCATAAATACGAAGGAACTGCAAGGAGTGGAAGCTTGGGGGAGCAGTAGTTCTCCCTCCAAAGCCTTTCCTTACGCTTGCAAAGGGCCTTGAAAAGCCCAAGTTTGGAAAGTTCCAGGTCCCCTTTAACAGTATGTATTACACGATTGTGTCCTTGCAGGCTCATAAGAAAACGCGCCGCTTTGTGGCAAAGGAGGGATATGGCCGCCTGTAACCAATAATTACTCTTTGATTCTCTTGATTAGTGTAGTTGAAGAAATTCAGTCGTCCCATTGAAGGGAGCAATTAGGCCTACCTACAACCTTGTTGTTTTTACGAATGCCGTTTACGGCTCAGTTCAGAAGTCACATTGAAATGAACCTTTGCAAGATGAAGTCACGACTAACCAGAACAAGATCAATGTAGTAGAGCTTTGTTAACGGGAGCGATGTTTTTGATTTGGTTTTCGTGCTCATCACATCACGGTGGACCTGAAAAAAAGACATATCTGAAGTGGTTGCGGAGAGTGACCGGTCGTGACAATGTAACGGCGAAATTGACGAAAGTGAGAATCGATAAGACTAAAAGTCGGCAATGCTCAGCTCAGTGTAAAAATAGGGCGAATAGAAGGAGGAAGAATAGGTGTGGGTAACTATCAGCATATTCAGAATCGGTGGGATCGAAGCAATGATTGTGAAGAACCGAGGATTCTGAGGAGGTATCGGTGAAGCAATTTCTTGAGAAGTCCTCAAAGTCTACAGGATGGCTCTGCTCTTACGAGATACGGGACTTTTAATTGATTAAATGTAGTGCGGATCCTAAGCCGAGGATCTAATCTGATAAAGATGGCGAATTGACGAACAAAGTCCTCTTTCACAGAATCTTCTTATCTTCTTGAGCAGTTGCGTCTATCCTGGGTTGTCCTCTCGTTACGAAGTAAGTTTCAAGGGATTGACTATAGATATAAAAATATCTTTATATCGAGACAATCCAGATGAAGCCAATGATGCAGTGAAGCCTTACTATTATTCCGATTATGCGATAGAAAATATTCATTGCTGCTACTTCAGCTTCGCTTTTATTCTTCACACATTTTCCCTCGACGTCAGTAAAATTGAAAAAGCACTGGATTAGGTTATGGTACGACTGGGCAGTGGACGCGTGATGAACTAATACATCGGAAATTCGACATATTTGTTACATGGGTCACAAATAAATGATGAATACATTGATAATATTATTATTTTTAAAAATAAATGCTATTATGACATCATATGGCTATCGGACGAAGGTAACATGCTGGGCTGCCGTAGTCGTCATTTTTGCTTGACGGTAACCACCTAGAGGTTAGCCGGTTCATTTGTGGCCCCTAACAGGCTAAGAATAATTTACCATCTGAAGAAGGTGAATTGTGGCTCGCTGGTGTGACTGTGTAAAACTGGAATTA